CCGGGGCGGGTGGAGGGGCGAGGAGGGGGGATATGCCGCAGCAGCCTTGGAAAGAAGGGTGGCACCCGGAAAGCGAATGAGGGGCCGGCTGCACGACCCTGCCTCCGCCCATGCAACCAGCAGCCCGGCCAACAGCCGAGATAACCTGCTACCACCCAGGATCGAAAGTTATATACGCGTCCCGTTCCTCCCTCGCTTTCTCGTTTCTCCAATTTTCTGGAATGATCCGGGCAACGATGACGCTCGACTGTAATATTTTTTTGCGCTACGAAAACACTGTTCCCCTTCTTCGTTGAAGAAGGATGTTAGAACGAAGAATTTAGAATCTCTAACTTGCAGATTGGAAAGAAAGAAGCGAGAAATTGAAATAAAGAAGAAAAGAAAGCAGAATACGAAGCTATATATATATATATATTTGCCCTTTCCCGGTTCAATTGACATTAATTTGTGAAGGCTACACCGTGGATCTGTCGCGAATCAGGGTGCAAAAAGCAGCGGGAATCAGCGGTAGACAACGGATTACCAGCAAGGCCCTTAGACAGAGGAGGAAGGAAGCGCGCAAGAGCAGCGGCTAATTGCAATATCTAACACATTAATCCTCTATCCACGACCCACCTTCTCTTCCTGCTCCTGAATACCCTTACAAGCGTGCTCTCGGAAATAGATTGTGTTGAATTAAGCTTGAAACAGGCTGCTGACCGTTAGACTTAACCGTTCTGAAACGAGATCTCGAAGAAATTGATCAAAGCCTTAATCTATTCCCAATAAATTTAAAATAAATCAGATCAAATAAAATAAGTAGGTAAGATCGTCGATCTTTAAAATATACATATATTGTGTATATTTTAGACAAATGAAACTGAGACGTGATGTAATAAAGGACAATATCCGCTATCGAATAACGAAAAATGTCCAAGAAGGAGGATCTCCAATCCCAATTTCCTCTCAAGAAGGGATATTTCCTCTCTCTCGAGGCAGCCATGTTCCACGGCCGTGATAATACCCTCTTATCGGATCAACCTTTGCCGTAGATATTCGTGACCCGTATTTTCCGGCAACGTCGCGCCACCTACACACCGCGTTCCAGATTCGTCGCGGCAAAGACAAATGGTCCGCAATGGGGTACGGCCGTTCCGCCTCGCATCGTCCGACTCGCAATCGGCCGATCTCTACAAGCTGTACCGCGCAACCACCGGTGTACGGTGGGTGGCCAAACGCAACGCGAAATTCGCGCCTCCTCCCCCCTCCCTCCTTCCTTCCCTTTCAGAGATTCAACGGGCTGTGACCACACACCTCGTCGGTGTTGCGCAACAACGATGAACGATTCGCGGAAATTTTTCAATTCGATCGAAATTCCTCGAAGGAATTCTTCGATTCTTGGTGAAATGTTTTAACTTATTTGCGAGAAATATTTATCTGTATGTATATTATTTATTTATTTGGATTTGTTTGCAACAAGTTTTTCATTCTCGAGAATTTAATTTCTCGATACTTTTCGATTATTTGTACTTTCCTTCGAGGATATGAAGAGAATGATGTGGATATTTGCGATGCAAGAAATAATCGTCTTTCGTTGGCTCTTATTATTTGGAGATTACGACGAAATGGTTTTTCGAGGAATTTTTATTCTCAAATACTTCGAAGATGTAAGAAAATAGTGTGGATGGAATATGATGTTCATTTACAAGGAATATATTCAAGAGAAACTTTGAATTCACCGTAAGTGCATTTGCAATTCGGTCCTAAAATTCGAAAAGTGAATAGATATCCATTTATAAGAAATATCTTCAAGAGTTTTCGAAAGCTGTACTCGAAATTTTACTAAATAAAATTCGGCACAAGTTCATTATATTTGCATTATATTTGCATCTGCATTATCGGTCGATCGAAAAATTCGAAGATAATAAAAATAACGTTGATTCGAATCGATATCCTTTTACAAGAAATATCTTCAAGATGCAATCTGAAATTCGAAAAAATAATATCGAATCGAAAAATTATGTGAATAGATATCCATTTATAAGAAATATCTTCAAGAGTTTTCGAAAGTTTATAAACTTTATTAAATAGAATTTAATAATAATAAGTTTGCACTTATTATATTTGCATCTGCATTATCGGTCAAACGAAAAATGTTGATTCGAAAAATGACATGGATAGAATACGATATTCTTTTACACGAAATATATTCAAAATACAATTCGAAAAAATAATATTGATTCGAAAAATATCTTGAAGAGTATTCGAAAGTTGTACTCGAAATAAAATTCGACACAAGTTTGCACCCATTATATTTGCATCTGCATTATCGATCAAACAAAAAATTCGAAAATAGTAAAAATAATGTTGATTCGAATAATGAGATGGATAAAACACGATATTCCTTTTCAAGAAATATATTCAAAATGCAATTCGAAAAAATAATATTGATTCGAAAAATGATGTGAATTGAATACTATATCCATTTATAAGAAATATCTTCAGTTTTCGAAAGTTATACTCGAAACTTTACTAAATAAAATTCGGCACAAGTTTTCATCCATTATATTTGCATCTGCATTATCGATCGAAAAATTCGAAGATGACAAAAATAATTGATTCGAACATCCCTTTACAATAAATATCACCAAAAATTTGAATTCGCCACAAGTACATTTGCACCCTACGTGATCTGCTCGATCGAAAAATTCGAAAATAACAAAAAATTGATTCGAAAAGCGACACGATATCCAAAAGTGCTCTCGAAACTTTTTCGAATTCATCGTAAGTACATTTGCAATCTAGCTCACACCGTTCGATCGAAAAATTCGAAAAGTA